AACAAGTACTTAGAGTCAATGTAAAAACACTGCTTTTCTTTAAGAATATCTGTAGCTTATTAGCTTAGTAGCGCTAATGATGAGGTCAGGGCATTAAGGTCAAACCCCACTTGTGTCAATTAGTTTCAAAGAGAAAAGCTTTTCCACAGCCAGTCACTACACCCCTAACTTTGACCAGCTGTCATACAAATGCATGGCTGGCAGTCTAAGAGGTATCAAGCCAAGAATGCCAATGGCACAGCTTAAATCCAGCCCCATTCAAAGGAATGCTGAAAATAGTGGGTGATTATATCTTTGCCCCAAATTGTACAGTCTCTTCTTTAGTTAGAAAGGCAGTATCAATAGGCTGGGAAAAGGCCTTATTTGTCTAAATAATTTGTCTAATTTAATAAAGGGCAGCTAAAATCTGACCCCACTTGTCCCCATTATGCCCAAGAGAGTGAGAAAATGTAAATGAGAGCTGTCAGTTGGTTCTTCCTAGCAAAGAAAAATGGCAATCTGTTTCCATGAGGTGTGTGCTGTTTTGTCCAGGTTACTTGTGTGGCTTTCATCATAACTGAGCTTCTAGTCCATCTCTGAGGGTTTGAAACCCAACTGAAAGAAATTGGCTCTTCTTTCTTTAAGCAGGTAAAATCCCCTGTTGTGAGGACTAACAGAATCTATGTAAAGAATATAAAAGAGATTAAATGTTCTGTAGTCACTACTTAAATCCTAGATCCTCCTTTTTTGAATAACACCAAAACTTTGTTAATTACAACCTAGACTGTGAGTCTGTTAAAGTTAGAAGAGGTCATTTACCTTAACAAAATCTCCTTGTTTTATAGACAAGGGCATTTCAGCCCAGGAAGTTCAAATGTTTGCCAAAGTCATACAACTAATGAATGACAGGTCTGGGAGCAGTTTTCTGAGCACTGCATCTCAAATGAAAGAAGCTTGAGTTAATAATAATAACTCAGATCTAAGAAGGTTATTTCAATCAATAACAATGAAATTCGTGGCAAAGTTTCACTTAAACTCTACAAACAGTATGTTTTAACACATGAAGAATGCCATTTGTTCTTAATAACTATGCATTGGAAGTATGTTTTATAAAAGCTATAAATCTGGAATAGCCGAAAGGGTATCCAACTTTCTTTTCTAATTGATTTACTTCTTCTTTTTCCCAGACTGCCTAGGTAAAGCATACACAGTTTATTTAAGGGATTGTTTATAGACTCTTAAAACTATAAAAGACCCCAGAAATTCGCTTTCTTTTGGTTGCTTTTAATTGAAACCATCCGAGATGGTTGGTTGTCCATCAATTTTTAAAGTATCTCCAAGGAGAGAAATTCCACAAGCCCTTAAAGTGTATGTTAAAATAGTTAATGGCTGTCAAAAAATTATATCTGTAGTAACTTTAATGTCTCCTGTTTCACTTGGAGCTCTTTTCCTCTTGCAGTTTCACACAAAACGAGGTTATAACAAGCCACCCTCTGTGAGAGCTCCATCAATCTGGTAAGATAATAGCTAGCTCTTTCCCAATGTACCACCTCCATTAAGCCACCATTTTTCTCACAGGACGATGAGCACACAAGACTGGTTGATATGCTCTCTTACTGTGATGCATAGGGAAGAATCAGTAATTAGCTCTTCATTGGAACTTTCATTTCAGAAAATGTCTGGGGAAGCTGCATTAATTATAGAGGAAGCGTTTCACTTATGCTGGGAAGATGTTCACAAAAAAGATCATCTAGACGGTTGCTTTCCACTGTGCTGTAGTGGAACTTGGGCTTGTAGAGAAATATGAGCTCATTCACAAGACTGGGTTGATCTATACAAAATCAGCATGACAGAAAATTTTATTCAGTTGTGTTTCTAATAAGGTTTTAAAAAAACTTTCCTTGTTATACATTCTGGCCCAACAAAAAAGATAGATATGGAGGCAATTTTCTTTTAGATGTTTGCATTTCAAAGTAAAATTGATACTGCTTTCCAGTATTAAAAAAAAAATCCATACTTTCAAAATGGAATTTCAAGCAGCTTAAAATAAAAGGCACAGCCACAATAAAACTTTGAAAATAAGGGTAAAAATATAAGAAGAGTCCATTGACAAGAGATAGAGGTGGAGAAGACCATTTTGCTCTAATAAGTATTTCAAAGACTGTAAATGCTTAGAGCTGACTTCTCCACACACAATAAATCTCATGGGACAAAGAGGAAACTCAATAAAATTGGTTGACAACAGTTGATGCCTGGAAGAATGATTGGCTCAGACACAAAACAGACCATCAGTGTAGCTTGGGGGATAACTAGAATGTAGTCTCTACGTTTGTTAGTATATAGGATAGTCATTAAAAAAAGTTTTCTCAAATAACTGGGTAAATATGTAGTGAAAAGAATTGTCCCAATACTTGACAAACCTAATTCTTGATGGTGTCGAAGACCAAGAACCCAAACAAGTAATTCCATTTCATTCAATTGGGTTCAATTGGATTCAATTCAATCCTGTCAGTTCAACAATCAAATAGGAGCCACTACTACAGAAGCCAGGCATTGAGGTACAAGGATTTAATGGTAAATAAATATAGCTCTTGGCATCAAGAAGCCCATTTAGAGTATAAATCCTGGTTAGCTGTTTTCAAATATGGGACAAAATATTCAGGAAAAGCATAAATGACTATAATCTAATCTCCCATGATTATTTTTCTCTTATTACACTTGATAATACTTATGTGCATTTTTTGAAACCTCCCAATTAGCAACTATTCTGTGAATTCCTTGAAGGCAAAGCCTATCTCTCTCACTCATTTCTAGGCATCTTATCAATGACTAGTATAATGTCTTACATAAAGCAGATTCTCCATCGATGTTTTGAATTAAAGAATTCAAAGGGGCTAACTTCTTCTCTTCGGCAAACAGGATCGTCTAGTTGACTAGAAAGTTAACAAGAACACTTTTGTGCATAAGGCTCTGTGTCAGGGAAAGGATTTACATAAGTCATGGAATTATATACTACAACATTTATGAAATATAGACTCTCAATGACAATAGTGATGATAATACACAATTGATAAAATCCCTTCCTCTCCAAATTCATATTCTAAACATCAAGAGTTGCCTTTTTCAGTGTAAAAGCACTTACTTAAATTTGATCATTGTGGTAACAGAATAAAAGAATCCTTTCAGTGCCTTGAAGTTGGTTTCCATCATAATTGTCCAGTATTCTTGTGTCAGTGTGAACATACATAGGTATCATATGGGACCAAATCATTCTTACCATTCTCACTTTTCACAATCTAAAGCAAACATTGTAGACATGGAAGGACCCAGTTTCCATGCACTGTGCATGGAAATCCTGGAGCATATCACATTGAACAAGACAGTTCAGCCTGGCACATAACAGAAGAAAGACACTTGTGGGCTTAGCAATCACCTAGTGAACTGGATCAAAGGAAACTGCACAGATGGATTATCAAGGCAGAAAGAAACCTTCTTGGGCATAATAAATGAGGACTACTTGTTCATTTTTTTCATGTGGATCAGTTGCAGCACAGTTGAGATTAATGACAACCCTCTGTCGAGTGATGTTGATGTGACATATTTGCCTTCCGTGAAACAAGTCTGCTGTTTGGAAAGAACCCACCTGATGAACTGATTCATCTGCGCTGCAACCAAGAACTGGATAGAATCACTTTATTGCCAGAAAAATAGATGAATTAGCTCAATTAAAATATTGGCAGGAAACAGAGTGGGAATTTGCCCATTCAAATAGCAGAAAGCACATCTCGTTCTCTGTCACTAGTGTTTAAATGTTATTTAAATGTTATTTGTAGCCAAATCTATGATATGTACACACAATCAACCCTCCTTTTAGTCTCTTCCTTCCTATCCCCCCACCCATCCCAGACCAATATACATGGACCCTTATCCCAGTGCCCTCCTCTATCCTCCCACCTCACCTCCACCCTCCATGGGAAGAAGATGAGAGACTTGAAATGTGTGAGTCATGCCAGGAGCTATTCAAAACTTAGTGGGTAACTGAGGTCCTAAGCCGTGTACACTTGAGTGATATGAATCTCTAAGAATGATTCATGTTCGCTGAGGACCTGAGCATCAGTGTCCTGGAACTCTCCAAAATTCCAAAGAATTACAGGGAATGAGCATCTGGCTTTAAATTTCACTGCTCTGTAATGTACAATGAGAGAGATGCTTCTGAGGTAGATCCTAGTTTAAGTGACGAGTTCCCTCAGGCAGCACTGACATTTGTTTGTGTTTATTATTTGCAAGCGTTGACTTGGCTGGCTACTTTTTATTGACTGTCGACTTTTTAATCATCTGAGGCCTCCTTGTGGGATAAATAACCCCACACTTGTCAGAAACCCTTCTCCAGATGGAGATACCACTGGAGAGCCTCAGCAAAGGGTGACGTCAAAGGAAAGCAATAACAAAAAACCAAGGTCGGTTTACATGGAGGGCAAATTAACCTGGCATTTCTGTTTGCATTTAAGAGAGTGTCTGTGTATTTGCAAACGTGCCTTTGAGGGAATTCACTTTCTGTCTGTTCCTGGTGAGTTTGTATAGCATGGAGACATCTGGGATATGCCCCCTTAATTCTTTTTCCAAGTCCCCCTTACTATTTTACTCCAAATTACCTAGCACTTCAAACAGGTCTACATGTTTCCATATGTTTATATGTGCACACACAGGTCTCGAGAACAAAAACCTCAATCCCCCAGGGTCCCTTCGTCCCCCTCTCTTTTACTGAAGGAACGGAATACTGAGGGTAGAGCCTAACAGTTGCCGGAGAGCTCATCAGGAATTCGCTAAAGGACAAACTGCAAAGGAGGAAAATTCCATCCTAAATCTCCAAAACCTGTCCCAGCCCCACTGAAACACTAGGCTTCCCTTAAGGTGAGGAATCTCAGGCTGAGGATGGCTGCCAGCCACGGGCAGTCGTTCAGTTATTCACACACTCCCTGCGGTTGTAAATCCACAGAGCTCTGAGAGGGAGGGCTACTTACTGAAATAAAAGCCCCTGTCTCCACACACGAACTGAAGAGCGTCCACCAGCTCAGCCCCGCAGAGTGTCTCCGGTCCAGCTGTGGCAGAGCTGGTGAAGGTGAGCAAGCACAGGGCCAGGTAGAAGAGATGCGAGGAGGACATGATGTGCACCTTGACCTGCCGAGGAAACAGAAGGAGGGTCATGTTTCCTCCTCGGCCCTTGCAAGGGGGTGGAGGTTGGGCACGGTGCATTGACCCCTACATTCCATCACTGTCATGGGTCAGAAGCACCCTGCGCGGAAGTGTGATCGCGTGCCTGAGAGACCCCAGGGTAGCCTGGACCGAGCACATCCTGCCATCAAAAGACTGGGGTTTAATCCCCTTGCTACTGTAGAACCTTGGAGAAGTCCTCCCTGAACCCCTTCTTTATGGGCTCCTCTCTTTTGAATGATCAGAGTTTAAATTGTGCTCAGTCCAGATTTGGTGTCAAATAGGTTTGATTAACTTAAATTCTTTAAAGATTGGTCATCCATGGATGGCATAGGCATTCATTATTGATCAGAATATTAAATTAACCAGAACATCCTTCCCTAGCTGCTAATTAAAGAGAATTTACTATGGCTAAAAAAGGACTTGTTGAAATACTATAGATTGTTATAGAATTTTTCTTTTTTTCACTGAACATGAAAGAGAGAAAGACCGAGAGCCAGATATTTCTTACCTGGGGGATATCAGAAGTTAAGACAACCACAAGTAGAGGTAAAAAAAAAACCCAACAAAAAAACAAAACCCAAAACAGGAAAAATGTGAGGATTTAGGAATGAAAGTGGCTCATGCTAAGTAGACCCTACTCTTTCTGTGTTCTATAGCTCTTTGTGTCAAGCTCAATACCATATCAACACGTGTGTGGAGTACCTTCCATGAACGGGGCACTGGGCTCAAAACCTACAAAAGCTCTTTTTTTTTTTTTTTTTAAGTCACAGGAATTCTGACTTCATCTCTTGGAGGGACTTATATGATACTGAATCCATTTTATAGCAAAATATACAGAGGGACCCCTGGTTGGCTTGCCTTAGCCGGTGACAGACAGCCAAGTGGCGGCCCTGCCAGAGGCAGAATTCCTGGGGCTCACATCCCCATCCTCACTCGAAGTAGCAGAAACAAGACTAAGGTGATCATTAAGTTTTTCCATATTGCCACTTGTGCCACAAAGATGTGGTTTCTTCCAGGAAGGCTAACTAACGTGAGTAGCTTCCCCTTTCTTAGATGCACCTCCTTTCAGCAACATTGGAAGAGTCACTCAGGAGAGGGTAAGTGAGGGATCCTATCAATGGGTCATGGAGTTAGGCTGGAAGCTATCATGATTTAAAAAAAAAAAAAAAAAAAAAAAAAAAAGCCCTTTTTTTAACCTTCCCAGTGGAGGCAGGTCCATTCAACCCCATCACTTTTGGAGAAACCGACTCAGTCATTGATTTTCTACCATCTCCTTGCTTTCCATGAACTCTCAACATTATGGCTCTACATCAGTGGCAAAATGTACCCCACTCATCCTTTTAATTAAGGTTTTCATGTTTGTGGCCAGAACTGCAGCCCAGCAATTGGGGAAAAACCCCTAAACTCCTGACTCTTGTTAAACAATTGACCACAAAAAAGCATCCTCTATTTGCAAATCATCATAAGTAATGGACATAATAGAGAAGAGGAGGTAAAAACACAATCGAACATTTCTTCCATTTTCTCACTAGAACCCTATTGGAGTCCTATGGAAATCTTCCACCCCAACAAAGCCCAAACCACTGAGACTGCTAGAAACATATCATCATCCAATCCTCATATTCCTTAGTTATAAAATCATCGGTGGGGGGATTCCCCTTCAATATTTCCAGTGGAAACCTCAGCAAAACCAACCTAACTGGACTTTATGGCCCTTCTCAAAGGAGCAACTTGTAATTGATCTTACAGAACATACCCCACACTTTGGCAATGGGCCAGCTCTAGAATGCATCCTATGCTACTAATCTGATTGCTCCACGCCTCCCTTCTTTGCTGAATTTATGGTAATGCTCAAGGCCAAGCACCTGCGATTGTACTTGCCTTCAAGATCTTCAGTTCTCAGGAAATCCAGGGGAACAGGCACTCAACTTATAGCCTTAGTGAATTGAGAACATCATTAGATGTCAAAACTCTATTATTAACAGTTATTTCTGGTATAACACATTTAAACCCGGCAATACATATAAATCTCTAGCATTTAAGAATTTAAGATTTTTGTTACAGATTTTTCTCTTCCTCTCTCTCTGTTGCAGAGTTATGCTGTCAGATAAATATCAGCACTTATAGTTCTAGGACAAGAACTGACAAGATAGAACCTCTAGTGCATTTTCCTTTAGTTCACAAAACAGTTCAGTATACCCTCAGAGACCCAGAGAATTTATCACATTATGTTCCCAAAAAGAAAACAATAATGAACTTGTTTAGGAGTTAAAAGTTTGAAACAAGTGGCTCCATATGTTCATCATTTCCTTGGCCTTTTGTTTTGCCAAACACAAAAGAAACAAAGAGAGAGAAAGGAAAGATATGACAGAGAGAAAGGAAGGAAGAACCAGAAAGAGAAGAGAAAAAGAGGGGAAAAAATCAGAGCACTCTTTCTCAAAAATCCCTTACAAATCCAAAATTTAAAAGACCTTTCTTTTTTATCTTAAATAAATGGAATATCAATTGATTCCAGATGTCTGGGCTACAATGAAAATGCCCCGCAAGGTTTGAGGGCAATAGTCATAAGAAAATACTCACTGTAGGTGTAACCATTTTTGTTTGTTCCAGATCTTTTACAGCAGGTCAGGGTGGGTATTATGAGGCTGATGTGAATGGAAAACTGAGGACTTAAAAACATGTGCTGCTTTGTGGGTGGGGTTTGTGAAAGCATCTAGTTACATTTGGACACCCAGGCAGGTATGCTATGAGTCTGGGTAAACTGCCTTTTGTCCATTCAAACAATGAACAAATTGCACGGCTGGGATTTGAGTCAATCTTTTCCCTTCAATCAAGCCACCGAGTCTCACTATACAAATGCCGATTGCAGCTCCCCAAAGAGTGACCCAGGCTCCAGTCCTGTCCCTTGCCCTCTTCTCTCTGACTCAAACACTTGGAAACTATCTTGCGACTCAGAGTACAATCAGTCAGCTTGTGAGTCCTGCCTCTGGACAGGACACCTTTACTCCCTGAATTACGTTTGCAAGACCACTCACCTCCCTCAAACCACTTCCTGCTCAAAGAGCAGGAAAAAGTAACAACTTATTGCTAGCTCTGCTTCTGAAAAGTTCAGCATACACAGCATGGAAAGTTCATTTGGAGACAGTTTTCCAAACTTGTAATTAAGGCAGACATAACACTCCACTGCCTCTTTTATGATCATCTGAGCCGGGAGACAAATCCCCCAGCAGGCAGACCACACAGTATATGCGGAGAGTGACTTGAATTCTTTTAAAAGCAAGGGAGCCAGCCTGCGTTCTGGCATCTCAAGGGCAGCAGAACCTCAGGTGTCTGACGGGGATGGACCCTTCACTCCTAAGCCACTTACTCAGAAAAGTCCTGGTAGTAGACTATTTAAAAGTAGCAAATGAATGCTGTGCTAAGGGGCAGGGACATTTTATGAATTGAGACCTCAGGCAATTCCATCAGGGACCAGTGACAGTGGCTTAAAAGTGCTTGCAAATTGGAAAAACGCAAGTCTTGAAGGATATAATTTTGCTGAGAATGGAAACTTGAACGAGGGCCAGGGATTGGAAACGAGAAGTCGGTGCGTTGACAGTGGCAGCCGAACTCACCTAAAGAGACTTCACAGCCCCGAGTGTGGAATCAGAGTTTGACAACACAGAAAACCCAGGTCCAAGCTTTGCCTGTGAAAGTCCTCTTTAAACCAGAAAACTTGGACAAGCGGTGGCTAGAAATTTTCCGCTTTCCATATACAGTATGCATTTGTTTAAATTATATGAATATGCAAGGTCAGCAAGAGTTGTCAAGTGCTTTTTCGGAAGAGCAAATTAAACTTCACTCTAACTTTGACTCCCTGGGCAGAAGTGCAGGGAGTTCCGGGACCTTAGCTCCAAAGATCATATTTAAAAGCTTTAACACCATTTAAAATGTAACTCTTTGTATGTGGCATGCTTTGCAATAAAAGTCCTACCAAGTTACACACACACATACCTACATATATACACACACACACACTCACACACACATACAAGAACAAGGTCTTAAAATTAAACATCTGCACCTGCAAAAAAAAAAAAATTTCCTAAGTCCATATCCACGCTCTATAGCCCTTCACCATAGACAGGATTTAAAGGGATCTTCTGTAATGATACCACTGAATCTCTGCAGAAGTGGAGGATTTAGCATAAGTACCTTGCGATAGTTTCTACTCATACATATGTCTGTGCAAAGGCATCCATCTCCCGGAGCTATTTTTTCAGATCCCACAGAATTGCATATTCAGCAATTTATAAATAACTCCCAGTTCCGAAACAATGAAAATTCTAAAGTGAATAACATTTCTAGGCAGAAGCAAACAGTACACAATTTAAAGAAAATTCCCCAATGACTTCAAAGAGTAAGAAATATTTACCTTCAAGAAATCACAAAAGCAGCACTTAAATAATTGGGTTGGAAGACTGCTGATTTTTTCCATTGCTTCTGAAGTGCAAAGTCTGGAAATGAATTGGTTAGCAGGAATAATGAGGCAAAAAGAAATCCAGAGAGATGGGAGATGTTGAGAGCAATGTCACATTTCAATTTTGAGGACTTTATTCCATTGCGCAGGCTCTATCTGCTCTGAATTTAGCAGTGACAGTGAGATTTAGCAAACAGAAGAGGGATTTAGAGAAAATCCTCACATTTATCTACAAAACACAGACACTGTAGACAGGAAACAGCTGGGGGAACATTTGCCTTCTCTCTCTCTCCCTCTTCTGGCAAAGTTATCGAGTAAGGACTTTTTTGGGCATGGTGACAAATAACATCATACCTTTGCATTTTAAAACTAGAGCACAGAAGCATTTTTTTCCCTTAAAAGAATGTGTGTTAGTGACAGGGTGAGCAGATATTAAAAATATTGATGCTGCCATAGAAAATGAAGATCAGCTTTCTGATTAACTTTCTCCTGGGCATGAAGACACACACGTCTGTTAATACACCTTATCAATATTCAAGGAAGCGACATGGGGGATGGGCGAGCAATTTTAAATTCTCGAGCAAATGCAAAATTAAAAAAAAGAAAAAAAGAAGAAGTGAGGACCACCCCAAGCAAAGCCTACGATTTTAACCCTGAAGTGACTGGGGGAAACTAGATTGGAAAACAGCACTGGTGTGACCCCTTGTCCTACCTGCCAAGTGAGGGGAGTGATCTCATTTCCTAGAACCTAGAAAAGGGGCAGGCAGCGTTGCAATTGGCTCCCTTTAGGACGACACCGTTTCGTGCTTTTTGCCTGCGATGGGGCAAAGATTTTGCTGAGCTGTAAAGCCAACTGAAAAAATAAAATCTTTTTCTTCCTTCCTCTACTAGGCTGCCTGTCACCTCCCCAGGGAAAGGGCACCTGAGAGGCCAACTATTTTCCCATTGTCATATTTTTCTGCATAACTCGAAACTTGGGGGGTGTGTGTGTGTGTGTGTGTGTGTGTGTGTGTGTGTGTGTTTTCTTTCTCCAGTGTTTGTGTATTCTAAATAACACCAGCTGGCTAGCAATACCCTCTCAAGGGTTATGATGTCATTCAAATCCCTCAACTGGACGAGTGGCCGGCAACATGTTCCAAGCCAGCTGTTTTGCTATTTATAATGTACACTTGCCTTTGCCATTGAGAATCAACTTCTGATCTCTTGTTGATACAGTGCGTGGCAATTTCTCTTTGGTTTTGCGAGGTAGGAGGTAAGAGTGGATTATAGACTTCCTCTGGGTGCCTATCCAGGCATGGTTTCCCAGGGTTGGTGGAAATAACCTGGATCTTGCATTTGTCTCTCATGATTCTCAGGGGACACGATGATACTGAGACACCAACTGAAAACGGAAGATGCTGGAAACCTTAGTGTGGACCTTTTTGTTGTCCTATGGATAAAAAGTTGTTTGCAGGCATGAGTGCCCTCAAAGGAAAACCTGGGTGGCTTTAGAAGGGGGTTTGGTTTGGTCAAGTCTTCTGTGTGGTTAATAATTTGAGGCAAGGGTTACCTTCCAGAAGGAAAAGTTTGAAATTCTCTGGACTTATGCTGTTTCCAATTCAAATTCAGTATCATTTAGTGAGTGCCTACTATGTGCCCAGCTACATGCATCATGGTCAAAGCCCTGCAGGGTTTTCAGCTGAGTGGCAGAGACAAAGAGGAAATGTCATTGTCATGTGGTGGATATCTGCTCTTTTAAAAATGTGAACAGTGCACACAGTGGGGGAGTGACAAATTCTCTGGAAAGACAGAGAAGTGAAAACCTTTTGAAAATCCAGAATGGGCAGAAGGGATGCATCATGAGAGGCTTTGGGTACAAAGTGGGGAAGTGTCAGTGGATACAAACATGCGTTATCAAGAGATGGCCAGGTAGCCACCTGCAGATGTGTGGGCGATTCCTGTACTTAAAGAACAATGTACAAATTCCTTTAATGAGCTCCCCTTCATGCATTTATGACTCGATTTACCAGAAATCTCTTTACCAGAAAGTCCATCCCTCCCTTGTAGACTTTGATGCTGTAGATTGTATAACCAAAGAGCTGCACCTGTCTCCCAGGTAGAAAGAATTGCCATTTCCATGTGCACAGGCTCAGGTACCGCTTGGAGTCTTGTCACTGAACGTCTTAGTCCATCACCCGGCACCTACTCAGGTGAAGGCCAGGACTCTCCCGGTTGCAGTTTTAGCATATTTTAATTGTTCCGAGATGTCCTAGAAGCTCACTGCATTTCTCCAAGGCTGGACCTCCCAGCATGCCTTGGGCAACTGTGTCACGGAAAGGCTGCTATAGGAGACGGAACACATACCACTCCATCGGACTCTGTGCTCCTGTAATATCAACACACTGACTCACAGGCTCTTGGTTTTATAACCCCAATTACCCTTAAAGGATAATTGAGTTTTAATTTATGTCCCAGTTTTTATGTCACAATCAAAGAAAACTGAAATTTCAGTGAGTCGTAATTATCATCAGCTGTGCTGTGGAAACACTCCAATGTGAGCTCTCAGTTTCCAATAGGAAAAGCAATTTCCTGGAGTGATTATTGTATATTTCAATGTGGGGAATGGTCTATATTTCTGCATAGGGTGAGCCAGCCCCAGAACAGAGAAATAATTTCCTAAAGAAATGGCCATTTTCTTTGTTAATTCCAGAGTCAACATGAAAGGGAAAGGGCAGTAAATGTGCCACATGACTACCTTTTAATGACTGAGTGCTGTACCTGTTTAGGAGAAAAAGAAATGAATGCACCTATTAATAGAGAGTCTGAGATGGTAGTAAATCTAATCCCCGGGAAGTTCACGTCATGGAGTCCCACTGGAGAGAAACCTATGTATGGGGTCCTTCTAAAATGACTGAAGGATGGTGTTGTCTCCTGTCTGGGACAATCTGACAGTTAGACATGGGAATTGTGTACCACCAAAATAGCTAACGGCTAGAGTATGCTCATCATGAACATACTCGAAGAACATCCACTCCTGGAAACCCAGAGATTCACAGTTTCACCTTTTGCATGTGTAATGCTGATAGGATATAAGTAACTCTACCCTGAAGCCTACTTCTTGAGCAGCATATTTGCATACAGCTGCAGCCTCAGAAGACTTCTGACACCTTTGAAAAAGAAAGAAAGAAAGAAAGAAAGAAAGAAAGAAAGAAAGAAAGAAAGAAAGAAAGAAAGAAAGAAAAACAGTTGTTTATCACCTTACAGGGTAGGCTGACTGAGGTACGCAGAAAGAGGCAGGCAAAGCCCAGTCCCCCCTCTTTCTGCTTAAGCCGTGTTCCCCATCTTCCCTGTGCCAACTGCAGAGGAGCTGATCCAAAAGCTAATTTCATATCCATGTGCAATAGGGCATATTTACAATTTATTTTATTAATGTTTTTGCTGACTCCCAAAAAAAGCTCAAAATGGATATTTGGAGGTAGGAGGACTTTGGAACCAAATAAAGGGTGAGGTCTAAGGTTCTAGGGCCACCCACCAGGCAAAGAACTTGGGGAAACTATTGGACGTGTGTCCTGGATCATGGTTTGTGGGGAGGGTTGGTTTGGGAGTGTATTCTCCAAGGTTTGAGATCAAGAGCTTGTCAATTCAGAATGTAAAACTCAGAGGAAAAGGCCGGACCTCAAAAATACAACATTCTGCTGAACAAGGGGACTAATGTCGGCTCCAAAAGATCTGCTCAGAAGGAGCTCTGTTATTCCTCAGAAAGATCCTGTGTAGCTCAAAGGAGCTGCTTTAAATCCTTAGAGGAGCTTTTTCCCCACAGCTAGGGAAAACAGTAATAGGGAGTAGAAATCCTCTCACTAAAGAAATCAATGCTTTCTTTTCAACATCAAACTTGGATCTTATTTCTTCTAAAATGTCAAAAGGGCAAATGCTGAAAGCAGTCAGAAGCAAAACTGCTGTGGTTTTGGGAGCAAAAGAATCCTTCGTAATGGCAGGCGAGGAGTCACTGCATGGGGCGACGATGGCTTCGTGGACTGAGAGAACCAGAGGGCTCACCACAAGGGCCCCAAGTAGAATAAAATGTGGGGAAAGGAGACACCAGCTCCAAACTTCAGGGGCAGTACCCACAAACGCGCTTTCTTTTGGAATCAAAAAAATGTGCGCGCCCTCTAGTGGGCTGTGGGGAAACTGCCACCGCAAGCTTAACCGTTGTTTGGCGTTAGGGAGCAGTGGGCGTTTTGAAAAGCTCTGGATTCAAATATACTTTAAGCTGCCCTCATCTTTAGTTTTAGGAATCCTTTTAAAATAATTCAGCTAGGTATTTAATAACCATAGATTTAAAAAGGTGTAAGGGGTTAAGGGGAGAGAGAAAGATAAACTTCATGAAGGCAGATATATCTTCTTCATGGCTGTGCTTCCCCATGTTTATACCCCTGGTGTGGGCTCAAAACATTGGGTTAATTGAATGAAAGTTAGGAAAATTAACGATTTTAAAGGTAAAATATTTAACATTAAAAAAACTCTCTGAGATTTGTATGACCAACTCCCTCATTTTATAAGTGAAAGTGAAGGGGTGGGCAGGGAGGGTAGATAGGTAAGGACGTTTTTAAAAAAAAATTTTGATTGTATTTTTTCCATTACCATTTATCCCCCTTATACCCTCCTTCACCCCCACAATCACCACACCGTTGTCTGCGTCCATGAGCCCTTTTTCCTTGTTGCTTAGCTCCTCCGCCCCTGACACAGCCGGCCCCCCCAACCCCACCCAGAGCTGCCTGCCTGCTCTCCATCTATGAGTCTGTCTCTGTTTTGCTTGTGAGTTCAGTTCATTAGATTCCACATACAAGTGAATTCAGAGAAAAGGGACTTTTAATAAAACAAATTCATGTGCTCATGAATGGATCCTAAATTCAGTTTCCCTGTGTGTTCAGCGTTCTTTCTACTACATCAGTGTTCAAAATGTGCATGAAAACTCTGATGGACAAAGGCGTGGCATCTAAAAATCACCTCAGTGTGGAAGTGGTTCTATTTTCAGTTATCTTTTCATTCTGAGTTTACCAAGAAGAAAGTCTCAGTTTGGGGCTAGCCAGTGTTAAGTGCCTAGCACTGCCTAACCTTCCTTTTTAACAACAAACTAACCAACCAAACCAGCTGATCTTAAGCCCAAGTGTTTACAGGGATCCCACCCAGAATTTAATAACAGTGTTTTGTTTTTAAGAATACCTTTTGTTTAGGACAAGTGATGCTGTTTTTGAAATAGACACTTTGAAACAGCTTTAAAATATATTTGTCTTAAAAATTAATTTAAGAAAACAAATTT